TCCTTTAAGGCTGGTTTATACTCAGAAACCAGGTCGTCTGCGTGTGTGTCGCCGTTAATGCAAATGTGTCTCCACCCCTTCCACAGACACTCTGCTGCACCTCTCCAAAATGGTAGGTGAACGCAGACAGTGCTGCAGACAGGAGGCCTCTGATTGGTCAAATCTACATCCGCTCTACACTATGCGTATTTCCTGTTTGGTTCCTTAACGGCTTGTTTCGTTTGTATGACCGCCATTGCGTAAAACGGCTTGTGAAGATGGAGCAGCTGCGTGAGAACGCTGGGACCCTTTTTCCACCTGGGTATCCACTCTTTTTTCACCCTCATGTCTCTCCATTGTCGCACAAACTAGCCCCCACTTCCTCACCGCTTCGGCTGTATCTAGACCCACAGCTAGTTCCTGGTTGTCCCTCTTACATTGTGGCGTGAAATAACATAGCGCAGACAACGCTTCAAAATTGGGCATAAATCAAAAATATCTGCATCATACCTGTGAATAGCGCACAGTGGTATAGTGGTGGTCCCTCAGGAGCTGTCCATGGTTCTGGCCAAGCTGTTCTTCTTTCTTTCCATAAAATACTTGGTTAAGTTGGTCACTGGTGCAATCTTTTAGCTTATCTGTGAAAAAACTCAGTCATCTCAGGTCATGGTCAAGCTTGAAAGGCTCAGTTTAGGCAACCAGCTATCTTTGTTAACCTGGAAAACCCATTTCTAATCAGAAGAGGTGGCATAAAGTTTGACCAATTAACAAAGCAATTTTAAGTGGAAGATTCACCCCTCACCTGACTCACGCCTTAATGAGGTAAATGACCAAAACCTCTCTGACAAGGGAGATAACGACCAACCAGAACACCCTAACGACCATTAACCCCCCCCCTCACACACACACACAGGTGACCTCCATTGACAATCCAGTAGGAAGGATCAGAGCCACATTTTGCCTGAACCTTTCAATCTAAATCTTATGACTCAGGAAGGCGAGCCTTAGCAGATTCTAGGGATGTTTTATGAACTAGTTTATTTTTGTTTGTTTGTTTTGTGACTGATATTAAGAGATACTGACCATTGCTGTTGGCTATGAGTTAGATTTTAACCCTTTGTGTACCAGTTTGTCAGCTTTTTTC